CCTCCAAAGAGCCTGAGCTGAACACTCAGCCACTGCTTTTCTCCCTGTGGTTAAAATCCAGCCCTGCCACACCACAGATCAGCAGCTCAGTGAGTGTGATACAAGTGTTATGATGGCAACAAAGAGGGAGAAGTAAGAAACAAGCTGTGCTGCCCCAAGTCCCCATCTGTGATCTCTCTAGGTAACCTGGCAATGCTTTATTTTATTTTAATAGAAGAAATCTTTAATAGACAGAATCAGCTCTGTGGGGCTATGCAGGCAAGATATTTTATCCCTTTTTGCTCACTTCCTGCATAACATCCTTGTGTCAATCTGGAGAGAACAGCTGCCTTCTGCACTGGGGAGGAGGTTACCCTGAGCAGGACAGGGGAAAGCAGGTTCCTGACCTCATTTTCAGTGCCTTCATCTTCTAGCACCTGGTTTCAGCATTGGTGATCAAAGTCCTGCAGGTGGGTAGTGCTTGCACTGCCTGATTACATACAGAGCTGTAAAAACTCTAGAAATGTAGGGCTCCAAATTCAAGAAACTCTACAATGTACATCTGAGTTAGAATTCTTCTGAGGGAGGTGATGCTCCCCCTCTGCTCTGCTCTTGTGAGACCCCACCTGGAATATTGTATACAGTTCTGGTGCCCCCAACATGAGAAGGACATGGAACTGCTGGAGAAAGTCCAAAGGAGGCCACGAAGTTGATGAGGGGGCTGGAGCACCTCACCTGTGGAGACCTTCCAGGATCTGCAGGGGCCTACAAGGAAGATAGAGTGGGACTCTTCATCAGTGTGACATCCTGGAGTGCGCCACAAAGCTGATGAGGGGTTGGAGCACCTCACCTGTGGAGACCTCCCAGCACCTTCCAGGATCTGCAGGGGCCTACAAGGAAGATAGAGTGGGACTCTTCATCAGTGTGACATCCTGGAGTGACAGGATGAGGGGGAATGGCTTCAAACTGAAAGAGGGGAAATTTAGATACACAGAGGGAATTCTTGTCCGTGAGGCTGGTGAAGGCCTGGCACAGGTTGCCCAGAGAAGCTGTGGCTGCCCCATCCCTGGCAGTGTCCAAGGCCAGGCTGGCCAGGGCTTGGAGCAGTGTGGGATGGTGGAATGTGTCCCTGCCCATGGCAGGGGGTAGAACAAGATGATCTCTAAGATCCAACACAAACCAAACCAGTGATTCTCTATTATTCTGATATTTATATATTTATTTCAGGGACAACAAGATGCACCTTACCAGTTACATACTCTTCCAGATAAAAACCAAAACAACCCAGAACCCAACCCTCTAAATACTCTAAGAATTTCCTTTTTACTGTCACCATGACAGTGTGTTTTTCCCTTTGACTTATTTCCTGGAAACAGCTGAATCATTTCTTGCCCAAAAGCTCGCCAAAATTTGCAGCCAATGGCATGGAAAATTTTGACACAGGTTTGTAAAAAGCTCAGGTCAGATTGTTTTAATGGGGAGTGGCAGGAATGTTCACAGTGTGGAAGTCTGGGAGCCCAGAGTGTAATCCACGTATATGTAAACAGAGCTGTGGTGTTAGATCACCCAGGGGAATAGAAGAGGAAAAACTTTCTTCTGTTAAAGGAATGCAAAAGACTTTAAAGCAATCATTTTTCTCCACTAGTGATGGTGTTCCTGTGGTAAGCAAGGCCAGCACATTAGATTTGCGAGTGTTCTGGAAATCTGACCTTTCCTGTAAATCTGAGCAGGATGACTGCCTTTGGTTTCATCCAAGTGTAGATGTGTATCTTAGCGCGGCGGCTGGAAGCTTTTCTGGTTGTGGCAGGCACTGTTTAGCCACAAGCTGAGGTTCCCTATCACATGCTCAGTGAGATTCCGCGGGACAAAGGCTGTGTAAATTGAATTACACTAACACCACCTATGGATTCGGGGCTGCCGCATTTGCATTACAAACGCCCTTACAGTGTGCATGCCCCGCACTCACCAATTAGGCTTTCTTCTCAACCCTCTTAGTCCTTCATAAAAAGAAAGAAGATTTTTTTCTTTCCTGATGGAGTTGCAAAGAAAAGCTGCTAATGAAGGAGTGATGAATGGTCTGATTGTGTTCCTGTTTGTATAGTTTCACCTTCATTTGCATCAGTACCAGGCACAGATCCCAAGACTCATTTTTCACTTTTCAGTGCTCCTCTTCTTTGGCCCCTGCCTGCACTAGGACCAACCAAACAAGCACATTTGTCTTTGCCTCCCGGAACACGGACTCGGAATATTTCCCTTCGTGCATCCTAGGAGCCTACACGTGGTAGGATGGGATTTCTCCCCAGCACATCTGGCTTCTGTTGCAGGTTGGTTTGGGAATCTGACACCAGCTGGAGCGACACAAAATGTACTGGGAGCCGTCACTGCTTTCCCTCGGGAACACTTAATGCATCATTTCTAAGTGTGTCTCCATTTCCTGCTTCAAGGAATGGATCTCCTATTTAGTATCTTTCCCCAGCAGTTCCCACAGCGTTTGACGCTGTAAAATAAGTCCCCACACCTCCAAGACCAGGGAAAGCACACAAACAGCGTGTCAAATTGCTTACACAGAACGCCCCTAAATGATCCAATCAAACTGAATCGATTCCACAAACAGTGGAGCAATCCCTCTCCCTGTAGGAGCAAACGAGTACACACAAGCCATGTTTGACTAGTGACTCTTCAGTTCTGGAGTTCTTTGGTTCTTCCTATTTTTCCTGACATTTTGAAAACAGCAACTGCGAAAAAATAATGATTTTCTTTTTAAAGAAGGAAAAAAAGAGAATGAAAGAATGTGTCCCTTTGTTTTCTATATCTGTTCAGGGAACAAGCTTCATTGATTGAATGCCAGGAAGAGGATAATGCAATCTCCCATTAGGCTTGTTTGCATCTTTTTCCAGGATGACAGTTCAAGTCTGCTGGCTACAGATGGCCTTTGACAACTGACAACACTCACTGTTATGCCAGTGCATGACTTCATCTGTGTGACACTGCATGTGACTGCAGCTTTCTTCCTCTTTGCTTGCAGGAACTATTCTCCATTTCAGGAGCACCAGGAGAACAGAGGAAGTTTCCCTTGCCAGAACCAGAAGCCTAAAAATGCCTTCGAGGCACTGGAAAAACAGTATTGTTGGAATATTGTTGTTTGCTTGGGGCTTTAACCGCCAAGTCTGAAGTTCAGAGGCCAGATTTGGTAAAGCTTCAATACTTTTTTGAATGGACATTTTTCAATGCTGGTAAGGCCCACATGGGCATTTCAGTGTCCCATGCTCCAGAGTGCTTCCCAAAGGGACACCAAGCTTTGCAGTTGTGCAGGAGGTGCAAAGGCTGCAGACCTGTGCTGGAATTTGGGGGAGTTTTTGTCTTCTCCGAATCTTGGCAACCCCAGGGAATGCTGCAAGTTGAATGAATGGAGTCATCCATCATCTAGCAGTAACTGGAGTAGGTTGAACTCATTCCCATTCTGTCTTTTGCTTCAGAAGCAGAAAAAAAATAAGGCTTATATTCTAGACTTTTCTTTTTGCCAGTTTTAAACACAGGTCACAATTTGAATTATGGTTAGTAGCTATTACCTTGTCCTACTTTTTATTATAACTGTTTGATTTAAACTTGGTTCTCAGGCCTGTTCTAACACATGTAATTTACTACTGGCTTTTTTGAAAAAAAAAAAAAAGGGAAAATATTTTATATTTTCTTCAACTCTTTTTTTTTTCTGTTTATTGCTCTAGGCAAATAGAGAGCTGAGATAACAGAGAGTGGTGTGGCTCACATACAGTGTATACAGGTGCTGCTAAAGTAGTCCATCATAGGCCTGGACTGGGGATGAAATTTAGCAAATACTGGGCCTCATATCAGAAGATGGCATCCAAAGAGTTCAATAGAGACAAAATTACTAGAAGTCATATTTTTCATCCTTTTTTAGTTGTCGTGGAACTCAGGAAGCCTCCTCTGAATTATATGGCACAAGCATTTCAAAGTCTTCATGTTAGTAATTCACTTTTAGCAAAACAAAGTGTTTTTCCATATCTGGGGAACAATGAAGAGTATAAATAATGACCTCTATTTCTTTGAAGATCACATTTCAATGATCCTGTCTTCACTTCCTCCAGTGGTGGAGCCACATTCCTGTGAAAATTCCACTGCCATGAGGCTGTGAACCATGCTAACAAATAGGGAAATGAATGTTCTTAGCTGAAAATTTATTTTCTTTGGGTGATTGTGTTGTTGAGTCTGTCAAAAACTGTGGGCAGCCTGGGAGGCACATAAACACTGACATCCCAAAAGTTGTTTGATGTTAGTGAGGAGAGCCCTGCATCTGAAGAGCATGAGTGAATTCCATAACAGTTTCAAAAGGCAGTTTATTAAAATAACATTTAACTGTCCTGGATAACTAAAATATCTTAATTAGGGGAGAGTTTAGGAAACAAACCAACATTCTGAGAAGCTGATTCTCTCTCTGTCTTGCAGGCAGGCCAAATAAGCCCTTGTGTGTTGAATAAGTCACAGAATAGGTCTGTGACTCTTCAGAGCATCACTTCTCCAAGTACCACTAGTAAAATAACGTGTTCCCCAAAACCTGCTAAGAATGAGTGGGACAGATGCTGCAGATTTCACTTTGACACTCATCCCATCTGGTCAGGTGGTAATCTAAGGGATGACAAAACAGAGGAGTGACACTGGCAAAAAGAATTTCTATCCTAGTTCCTTTAGTCATGTGGTGGACATGTTGGATGAACAGTCAGGGTCACATCCAGCATTGGTAATGCTGAGTTATAGTTCCTGTTCTGTTCTGAAATCCATCACCTCTTCTATCAGGCAGGGATTGATCTCTTCAAGCTGGCAGGCACGGGGCCAGCTAAATGTCACCTCTGCTGTCATGCTCCAACCAGCCTCTTCACAGAATTAGCTACCAAAATATTCATATTATTCTTAAGAGTCTCCTGATGCAACACCGCTTCTGAAAGATCTTAGATCAAACAAATTGATTGCTGCTTCTGCCCTTGGTTCTTGCGACAGTGGATGAATCTGCTTTCTTGTTTTGGGACTTCAGAATGTGGGAATTTTCCCCTTGGTCAGGCTGATCTTTCTCTATCTGATGGCATGAAGTTGAGCCCTTGGAAAGGACAGGGAAGAACAGCAGCAGCTTGGCTCTGAGCAATCACTTTGGCTGGCAGTCTGGGAGAGAACACAGCCTGTTGACTGGCAGTGATATAAATATTCAGGGCTGGATTGACAGTATGCAGGACATAAGCCTGCTGGGAACAGTGAAATTGAGACATGACTTCTTTCCTTCTTTTGTGCTCCTTTGTGAAGGCATGAAGGGTGTCCAGCAACAAGTTCCTTTCCTTCCCCAAAATAAGGTGTTAGAGGACAAATGGAGCTGAGCGACGAGGAGTTGTTGGTATTGTTTTCCTCTTGGTTTCAAGTTCTGCAAACAAAGCTAGAGCTGGTAAGTGAATATTGCTTAGCCTGGCTGGCTGGACCTTCCCAAAGTGCTGAGTCTCAAGGCTGTTCTTGCTTCTCCTCGGCTGAAGAAGGGCTGTGTGAATGACAGAGAGCTTTGGTGTTTTATTGCTGTAGTTCACCCCGTTGCCTATCAGGCTGAGGCTTGATGCAAAAGATAATGAGTTTTGGTGACAGTGAAGAAACAGTTCTCAGTAGTAGTTAGGGGGCTGCATTTAAAATCTGATTAATGTGGTGACATCAGTACTGAGGAATGTTATTTGTGGTCAAAAGAGATCAATGGTTCTACTCCAAGACGTAACCATTATGAAAAAAGCTTTAAATGGCTTTCTAGTATGCCTGTTTCCTGAATGTTAAACTGATCATTAGAGCCCTTTTTAACTTGTCCACTCATGGGTCAGGTAAAACCACCAGGATTATTCAGAAGCACTCATCATATCCAGGATGAATACGAGTGTTAGGCTAAAGAGCAGCAATTCTGCTTATCAACAGACCTAAAACTGCATCAGGTCTGAGATTTTTCCCAGTAATGTAGCTAGAACCTTGAATATTTAACTGTATTGTGGAGTTGCATGTGAAGCAGAACCATTTCATTTCTGTACTTACATTTATGCCCATTATTTCCTTTCTTCCTTTGGGGCATTTTCATGTACACAGCAGGAGCACACCTGAGATGGGCTCTGAAAATTGTTGTGTAATCTCTGTAGGCAAAGAGCATAGCAGGGGAAAGGCATGAAAGGAAAACTACCAGATTGTGAAAGGGAACCAAGACTGACTTTCTGCATTGTTCTTATTGGCACATGCTCTTTCTGCTTCACATTCTTACGTTGCTGAGAAACCCTGTCATCTGCAAACAAAACCAGCTCCTGCAGGATGGAGTGTGTGCTGAATGTAAAGAGGGAGGTGTCTGCAGGCAGCCTACAGAAACCTGCCACGTTGTTTCCATGCACACAAAACGTTCCTCACTTTTTGGTACCAGACTCACCACCCTGACGGGCAACCTGGCTGCACTTAAGGTATTTTATGTCAGGAAGTTTTTCTGAAGACTTGACTTGCATGTTCTTAAGCAGTAAATACAAAGCTGGTATTAAGTTATGCATCATGATCCAAAGCATTGGTCAATGTTGTGTTGAAATTACAGCATGTGGAATTATAGCATGTAATTTTCACCAGGAACACCCATCTCAGGGCTTGTGGCTGTTTCTCCATACTCTTGAAAACACTGGCAGTTTTAGTACTAGATTTGGTAAATTCTTGCAGAGTATCTCTGGTTCATATTTTATTGATTATAGAATTTGATCCTGTAGTATCTTTAATAGTTTGGTCTCTGTCCATTTCTGTGTGTCTTGCCATCCCTTTATCTCAGGATGAAAAAAAGACTTAGTTGTGAATTCCTTTCTGAGCTGTTCCCCAAAATTTACCCACTGAGGGCCATACCTGTCCTTGGATATTTAGAAGTGTAGCTCTAACTAGCAAATGCTGAAATAAATTTTAAAAAAATTAAAATAAAATATATCCCCAGTGGTGAAACAACTGAACATTTTCTCAGGCAAAAGCTGCTTAGCCAGACAGCCTGAGAGCAATGGCCTGGCTGCATTCAAGATCCCGATGGGAAGACACTCCTGGTAAGGAAGCCTTGTCACCAGGAAGCTGCTGGTAGCAGATGGCAGTGCACAGCCTGGGCCAGGGGTCTCCTCACATTCCAGTTCCCCATTATGTCTGCACGGGGCTTCTCTCCTTAATAGGGGAGTAGGAGCTGGGCTTAATGGGCTCTGACTAATGACTAAAAAGGGGAAAAGATGAAGAATTGGCTCCTTTGTGATTTTCCTTTTTTTCTTTCACCCATCTTTGACAGGCTGTAAATGGATTTTCTGTAGCTGCTGCGTTTCACTGGGGAAATGAGCAGGGTGTGTTTTTAGATGATTAGTCATTATCTGTAGGGTTTGTACTCAGCCCTTGCACTGCATCCCTGTGAGACCAAGGAGGCCTTTAAGTTTCCAAGTGGGAATTCCTACTGGGGAAAAAAATTGCCTAAATTCTGTTCATGCCCAAGGCAGTAACAAGACCTGTCTGACTTCATGGCTTGTGACTAAAGCAGGCTCTGGGCAAGCATGTGACTACCTGGCTCCTGTTTAGGAGCTGCCTCTGTGCCACACTCTGTGTCAGCACCGTGGGGAGAGAAAAGACTCCATTGTCTCCATTGCCTCAGCCCACCCTCTTGCCTTTTAGAAGGCTTCAGATTTCCAGATGTTCATGTGTATGTTCAACAGACAGATTTTGGTGATAAGGGTAAGAAATGTAAATGTTTATCTTTCAGGATTAGCATGTCATTCCAACTTCCAGAAAAACTCTGTGGAGTAAATTCCCTGATGCCCCATGTTTGTGCTCTGCTTGCAGAGAGCTTGGCATGTGCCATGTCTCAGTGTTTGTTGGATCAGTATTTCACTGTTACAGTCTTGAAAAAAGAATGAGAGTGATTCATGAATCAAGAATACCACAGTCTGTATAGGGAAAAACCAAAACCAAACCTTTACAATCAGTCTATAATCCAACTAGAAAAAAGTGCTGTCTGTATTGGTAAGTCTTAGGTGAGGCTGTAAGGCAGGGAAGGAAAAAAATTTAATTCAGGCAAGTTTTTTTCAAAGCTGAATAATCTGAGAATATTTGGGCTTTTTTTCAAAGTTCATGGAGTCCCCAGACAGATGCAGCCACCAGCTTTTTCCAAAAGCCCAGTATAGTTATGTCACTGCACTGTGCTGAAAGAGATTGCAGAGGTTATTTAGTGGGGATTCCCACTTGGGTGTTTGTGGGAAGAAATGACCTAGTGCTGTGTCTTGGCAGGTGAAAATGCATGAGGCACAATAGGGGCTGGACAGGAGAAACCCATTTCACAGGTGGGGAAAGTTACAGATAATTTAGACTACATATTTTGGCTTAGGACACCTGAAACATTTGAGAGAACTTTACACAGCATGTTCCTTAGAGCTGAGTGATATCCTGGTGTCTCTAGGACATTTCATATCATCTCACTTGGCACTGAGCAAGAGATCCAGTCTGAAAACAATTAATTGACTCGGTTTACCCAGGTAACACATGGAGATAAATGTTACATTTACAGAGGAAGGTGAGTGGCAGATACAAAATGGATTCTGCTGTTTATTACTCAGAAAGAACAGTAAAGCCTGCCACAGTTTACAGTAAGATCTGTAAACTCTCATCTGCAAGATGAGGAAGTCAAGCCATGAAGATTTAATATCTGTGGAATTCAGGGGAAAGATTCCCTGAGGAGCTGGGGTAATCTGGAGACTAAGGCTGGGGGACAAGGTTTGCTGTCACCTCACAGGTCTGTGTCTCCTTTAACAGTCACCAGTGAATTTTATCATTGTTTCCTCAAATTAAAAAAAAAATTGTTTAAAAAACATAAAAATATTAGAGGGTGTTTGAAGGAAACAAGCATAGAAAAGTGGAAATAACTGTATTTCTCAAAAAGAGGAAGGGAATGAAGTTTTGAGGTGAGGTATGTCTGACAGGAGGATGTATGATTTAAGAAGAGGCTACTCCAGGCTTACTCCAGAGGCCTTTGCTCTGCTGCCATTTACAGTCAGTGGTTCTGCTTCTCCACAAGAAACAAGGGCAAGCCTAAAAACCACAGACACCTCCAGGAGGCAGTTAGGCTCAGCTGGCCTCAATGACACAGGGTAATTAACATAATTGGCATCTCCTTGTTTATGGTAGCTGAGGATCTGGCCAAAACAAGTGCAGTGTGTAGCACAATTGTAACGTACCTTCAATTCACAAAAAATTTGAAACACTTGTAATTGCTGGTGTATCCTGTCAATAACCAAAACAGGCTCAGTCACTCCTGTCTGTTTGAACTCCACCAGGAAGAAGCAGTAGCAGATTTTCTGACTCAGGTATGTAAAATGAAGGCTTTTGTTCAGCCATGACACATTTGGATGTGGTAGATCACCCACACTTTGATAACATAAATAATGAAGTGGTAAAATGCTCTCAGTACCCTACTAATTGGTTACAATGGAAGTAAAGGGCCTTGGTTGAAAATTGCTTAATGGGCAACTTGAGATAGGTTTCCTTTGTTTGAGAGGTTGTTTAGGTGTTTATTGTACTGTACAGATAACAGAGTTTTGGTCAAAAGTTTTTAGCCTAAGTCTAAAGAGCAAGATCAAAGTTCTAGAAGGAAAAGCAGTCTGTTTCAGGCAGGTTTTAATTGCATTTTGGAACAAGAAAAGGACAAAATTATCTGTCTGCTGTTAGTAGATGGAGAGAAAGAAAAGAATGATCAACAGAGCATGGAAATGAAAGAAGAATAATTACAGACCTGTCAGTGAAAGTATTTTTTTCAAACAGGTACTCAGTTTCAGCTGTCTCAGTTTACCCACTGGCTGCTCCCTTCAGTACTTTCACTTTCCATGGCAGAACTTTCACTGATCATTTCTGCAGCTGGACATTCCACATTTCTGCCTTCTCCCTAGAGATAAATACTGAATATCTTACAGCCCTGGTGGTTGCAGTCTGGGCTCTAAGGGGGAAAGGGACATTTATTGAATTAATTTTTCTGCTCAGTCAGAATTTAGTGAAATCTCTGCTTAACTTGCTTGTGATTTTTTGTTATACTTGAGCAGGATTATCTCATGCTTTTGCATGACTGCTATGAATTAAGTCTCTACCAAAGGTTTTACACATCCATCTGCTGTTCCTCTTTACCATATGAATCTGCTGGAAGATCCCATTTGGAAAAGGCTGAAGTTGTGACATCTTTCAGTTATACTGAAGTACTCCTGGATTCCTGGGATCAAACAGGGCTAATTCTGCAGTACAGCCTTGGGGCTGTACAGAAATAATGGGAGCAGGGACTCAGACAAGTTCTCAGGGATAGTTCTTGAAATTCAGGTCCTCTCTTTGGAGCTAATTCTTTATGCACCTCGCTGTTGCTGTTAGGCAACACAGGCTTATTTCCCTGAGTGA